CCACAAGTCTTAAAGTTGCCAAGGTTGGACACCCCTGCTCTAAAGTGACTCGTTTGGTCAAAACCCCTAACCAGTTTTGCAATCCAAAGTTTAAAAAATAAAAAGAATAAAAGATCAGATTGTGTGTGTGTGTGTGTGTGTGTGTGTGTTTAAAAAGAAGAAGAAAAGCCACAACAGCTGCATATTATATCCTACAAGCACTTAAAAAGTACCACATGCCAAAGAAACTGGACAAGTTCCAAGTTAGCTTTGTTGCGGAGAAGAAATCAAAATGAGGAGCTCCCAACTTGTACACCTGGAAAAGAAAAAAGAAAGAGAGAAAGAGGGGAAGAGGGGAAGAGAGAAGGAGAGCGAGAGAGAGAGAGAAGGAGAGATTTTGTTCCTCATGCAATCAGGGAGGCAAGTGTTAAGTCCAACTCTGACACCCACCTGTGATAGCCCTTACTAGGAACATCCATTGTGCAAGACTCTTTTGTCTAACCCAGGAAAGAAAAGAACATGCCTGTCTTTTTAAGAGGGGCGAATGCCACAAGGGATGATGGGCGTGCTCTTCATTTAAGACACTTTTCTTGAATCTACAGAGTCATCTCCTCTTCCTCTTCCTCACTCACTCACTCACCCAACCCCGCCTCCCTCCCTCCCAGTAAAAACCCAGAAAAAGTTTTGGCTGCAGGGAACAGATCAACCCAGATGCTGAAGCTTCAAGAGGGAGCCGCAGGCTCACCCCTCAGGTCAACTTGGAAGAGGATCAGAAGGACAGGAGAGTCCTTATTAAAGAAACTCAGGGCTGGATTTTGGAGCCCGGGATGGTCCCGTCCACGGCAAACTCAGTCATGACTCTCCGAGCCAAGGGATTGGTGGTCTTGAGAAGTTCGGCTGCAGAGGTTCGGATGCCCGAGGCCCCTTTCCCTCCTTTCTTCTGAAGGAGAGCCTTGAAGTCCTCGTTTTTGCTGGAGGTTCTGCTTGTGCTGGGAGGACATTCGTTGATCGCGAACCCTGCGGTGTTCTTGGTGGGCATCTGGGAATTGGGTCGGTTGGCAAAGGAGTCGCTGGGCTCCTTCCAACCCAGTAACTTCCGCTTGGATCTGCGAACAAAGGGATGAGGAGAAGAGCTTGACGGAAGAAATAGAGAGATGACCACTGTCACAACCAACACTTGATGGCCTGGGAGCCAGCTAGAAGCTAGGGAAATATTTCTAAGGGTACAGAAGCTACAAGTCATCCACCCACCCACCCACCCACGAATTGAATCTAGTTCTTTTTCTCACTCAAAGCAGATGGTGTCATGCCCTTGTTGGAGTCTGATTCTGAGGGGGAGGCTGAGCAGCTGACAGGGAGTGTGGCTCCGGTGGCTGTGGAAGACGTGGGGGAAGGGCACAGTCCAGCTGGGCATTCAGAGGAAGACCCAGGGCCACACCCTCTTCATCCTAGGGCACGCAGGGAGGAACGGAGAAGGGAGCAACATGGCTTACGGGAGAGAAAAAGGCCCTGATTCCCTTCATTAGTTGTAGCCTGGAGAACAGGATATAAGAAGGATGTTTGCACACAGCACCTTGCTGGAAGCAAGGTGTGGATTCTTTTTGTCGAGGCTTATCTGGGTTTTGGCATCCTCCCACCTGTGTGTGGTCATTATTGTTTGAAAGTCTGCAATTTATTATCCTGGCCTATCGTGTTAATTACTTCAGCATGGTTTGTGTTGGTTTTTTTTTTTTATTTCTAAGTTATCTGTACTTTGGGTTCGGACTGCATTTCTTCCCTTTGTAGACTGTTTTTGGAAGAGTTTGACTCCAGCCGAGGATAATTGGACATTGGGGGCCAAGTTGGAGTTATTAAAGGGAATTTATCTATTTTTGTGACTTTGTTGTTTTTGTGCCATGCCTCGGGTCATCACAGATGGGCTGGTGGGAGGGGAGGCAGCCCCAGGGATGTGGGTTGGGCAAACAGCCCAAAACGGTCCTTCCAAGAGTTGTCTCCTGGATAAACTCTCACCTGTGAATGACGGTGAATAGATCTTCCGTGGTTCGGGTTGTCACAAAGACATCGTCGTCTTCCTCGGTTATGGACTCAGCTGTTTTGTCATTTACAAAGCGTTTGTCTTTGCCCCTCAAACCCACGGAATTTCCTATGGAAAAGAAAAATGAGAACCTTGGAAAAAAAAATAGCTTGATTCAGACAGCAAGCAGGGCACAAAAAGAAACAGGGTGTTCCTCAAACAGCAACAGGCAGCATCTGCGTACAAAGGAAGGGCAATAAAATGGGGTACAGTACTTTGAAAGATATTGGTTTCATCGTCTTCAGGAAACCCATCCAGTTGACTACAGAATGGCCTCATATTTCTCTCTTTGCTGCTATCTAGTGGTTGATTGGATTTTTGCAAGCCCAATCTGAAATTCTTGCACCATAAATATCAGATTAGTCCACAATCCCATTGGCATACATGAGATGAGTGTCCCTCCCTACACATTTGGCAGATATTTTGACCAGTGCCTGGAATTCCACAGCAACAAGACCACTGTAGAGAATCCTGGGAGTTGAAGTCCATAGGTAAAGCAAGTTGGGGAAGGCTGTGTTTAGTTGCTGTTTCACTTTAAAGTGTTGTGCGAGCCTCGCAAGTGTGGCTTGCAAAATCCTGTAAGATGCGTTGTCATCCATGGAGAGCACACGTGGTTCCAGCTATTGAACTTCCATGAAGTCCCAAGGAAGGACAATAATCAGACCTAGGACATAGACTAATAGGGTTGGAAGGGACCATGAAGGTCTTCTAATCCACCCCTTGCTCAAGCATGTGGATGCACAGAAAGAGAGGAGAGCAGTGGAAATCTATGGGCCGATCTTGGGGAAGGAAGAGCCACTGCTGCTATGGAGGCGCCACCCTACCTCTGGGGATAAAAGGTAGGGGGCACAGATGAATAAGTGGGGCAGACAACTATTCATCTTCTGGACGGATGGACTTGTTAGCCTGCAATGAGAGAGGAACGTTTTGCCTGGGCTGCCGGCACTCCTAATTAAAGGAATCTTCAGAGGGTTTGTTGTGTTTAGGGAGCTGGGTCAGAACATTTCTCCTTAGTTTGCATTTACTCCCCAACTGAGCTAAGACCTCCCTTCAATCACCCTGAACTAGAAAAAGCAAGAAGCCTTACCTGGAATGTCTCCCCATGACAGGTCTGCAGGAATTGGACTTACATTCATCTCGCTGGCAACTGGAGACGGCACTTTGTAGGTGGTCAGTTCTGAGTAGGCAGAATCCTCATCTAGCATGATGACCGGGCTAGGAGATAGCCTCTGGTCCCCAGGACAAGGCCCCGGATGGAGTGGGGAAGTCACCAACGGCAAGTAAAGCACACTTGGCTTCTTTGGGACAGGGGGCGGGACTTTAGTTTTACGGCTCTCTCCCCCAGGCACCGCCTCGTCGAAAACCTTGGCCTTCATCTGCTCCTCTTCCTCCAAGCTGTCCTCAGAGAGCCTCCGTGCGGTGGAGAAGAAGGCCCCCACGGAGCCTTGCGTGGGAGAAGCTGCCCCCTCGGCCGAAGGGGATTGTGTGGGGCTCCATGTGCCTGCATCCCACAAGTGGTCTGGCCTCCTGGCCATCATATAAATGTTCTCTGCAGGGACCAAGCCCTGGGGTGCGGCTGGAGAAGTTGGAGAGCTCACAGGGGACTCCTCCTGGACTGGCGGAGTTTTATGCAACAGCATTGGTGGCCTTCGGGAGAGCGGTGGCTTCTCTGCCACTGGGGGCCGGATCTTCTTGCCAGGTTCCTCCAGTAGCTCCGGAATGTCCAGGTTATCCTCCGTCTCAGATCGGCTGATTGACCGCAAACGGACAGAACGCAGGTCTAGCTGGGTCACCATCGGCATAACTGGCTGTACCGGGCTCAGTTTGGGGCCCAGCTTGGTTCCGAAGGTACACTCTGAGTGGTGTCGGCTCACTTTGGCTTTGCTCTTGTGTGAGATTTTCAAGCCTGACAGGTCGAGATGGGTCGGCGGGGCAAACGGCAGGTCGAAGGAGAGGCAAGACTTGGGGCTCCGTTCCATCGGAGAAACCGGGGGTAGGGAGGACTTCCTCTCCGGCACAAGGGGCCTCGCCCGCCCACTCTGGTGAGGAGCATGGCCTAGAACTGTGGAGGTTGGGACCGTTGGGGTTGGCGTTTCGGATTGACTGGAGTAGCCGCTGGAGGGAGACATTACCCCTGTCAACCTCCCCGGGGAAGAGGTCTTCAAACTCATGTCGGCACAGAGATGAGATGGGGTGGTGGCCCGGGAGACGGAAGGAGAAGGGAGGGACTCAGAACTCCCACGTACCTTGGACAGTTCAATTACAGTCGTCCCAGTAGTAGCAGTGCTGGATCCGGACAAAGAGCAATAAGGATCGCTAGAATTCCATTCAGGAAGAAAACCCTGCTGGGCATAGGGCCTGTTCTCCAATTCCCTCGCGGGGTCTGCTTGGGCTTTGATGTGGACCTGTGCATCGGGCAGCAAATAAAGACTTTTGGGTCTCTGATCCTGGGGCAGCACCTCACCATCCTCTTCAGCCTCATTGAGTTTCCCTTCCTTGATCAAGGAGACGCTGCGGGTGGGCGGGCACGGCTTCTTCTTGGACTTTTTGAGGGAGATGCTCTTGGTCCGTTGTCGGCGCTGCTTTCGGGCCTCCTGCTCCACGGACAGGGAGATGTTATCGGTGCTCGTGCTGCCTTCGGAGCTGGCACTGGGATAGCTAAGGCCACAGGTCTCACTGCCCCCCATGTCCACCGAGCACAGGGAGGCTGTGTCGGTAGGGACGGAGAGCGACCTCTCGCGGAACCGGCACAGGATTCGCTCCCTCTCCAGTTGGGAAGATGCCTCTTCCCTCGAGTTGACAAGGGCTGCAGGGACTTTGAGGTCTCTCCTTCCACACCTCGAGCTTCCTTCGGCCTCTAAGGGGGACTCAGGAGAAGCACAAAACGTCCCACACTCATTGGTCCCAGCCATGTTGTCTTGGCTAATGAAGAAGGAAGATGGTCGATCAGCCTCTGGAGTGTCCCTGGGAGTGCAAGGAGACACCTGAGAGGCACTCTCTGCTACCCCCTCCCTTTGGCCCATAGAAGAGTTGGCATAGCAGAAGGAGGATGTGCTGCAACTGGGAGAGAAGATGGCATCCTCCTTGGGTCCATTGCACAGTGGACTGGCATACACCCCCTTGGAGTTCTCAGCACGGCCCACTTGGATTTGGCAACCTCGTCCCTGTAGGACCCCTCCAAGATCACTGAAGGTCTTTCTCAGCTGTGGCCGGGAATGAGGAGAACGAGCTTGGCGAGTGGAGCTCCTCCCATTGACCACATCAGGGACAAAATTGCAAGAGATGGACTCCGCTATGGTGGCCGGTGGATTGATGATGGGCCCATTGCTACTTCCTAGAGAAGAGTTAGAAAGGCAAGTGTCAGCAAACCTCCATTCCAGCCAATAACTCTGAGACAGACATCTTCTCAAAAGTTCCTTTTATTTGGATAGTAACTGGCACAACTGTGGAATCCCGAATCTGAAAGTTCTGGGCTTCCTTGCAATAAGTAAAAACTACAAAATCCATCCCCTGTGCCCATCATCGCGTCACATGGCCCAATCATCATCCATCCCAACTTGAGACTTCCTCTCACTTATGCGCAACACAACCTGACCTTGAATCAGAAAAAGAATGTTATTATGTCTCACTAGATATACTCCAGTGAATTCCCCCCTCCCACTTTCCCAGGCTCAATTGTGGCGTGGGAGCATTGGATATCAATATGGCTTCCAAAGCTGACAGCAAGGATGAATACAGAGTGGAGAAGATCTCCCTCTTGTATGCCTCCCGACCTAGATTAGGGGTGTCCAACCGTGGTGACTTTAAGACCTGTGGACTTCAACTCCCAGAATTCTGTCTGTTCAAGCCAGCTGGGGAGTTCTGGGAATTGAAGTCCACAGGTCTTAAAAGTTGCCAAGGTTGGATACTCCTTGCTTAGACACACAACTTAGCATTAATTAAAAAAAAAAAAAAAGCAAGACCCTTCTATTCAGTCTCGGATGTAACTTAGCCTAAAATGTATATTTTTAAATCCACAAATAAAATATATATCTTTAGGAATGTCGCAGACCAGCAAAAACCAAAAGAGCAAGGGAGAAGCTGCCCCATCAGTGGGTCACCTGGATCACGTAGAGAGAGGTGAGGGAAACCAATCACGGTCCGTCTTCGGCGTAGCAAAGACTTGGGATTCATGGCAGTCTCGGTATTGAACAGGGAGTGTCGTGCACTGGCGTGTCGAGCGAATGGCTGCCCTATAGCCGAGACAAAAGAGATTCAGTGGTCCAAGAGGAGACAAGGAAACCCAGAAGATGACAACAGACAAGGAAGGCAGGTGGTCTTCACTCAATTATAACTCAATAACTATAATAATCAATAACTCAATAACAACAACTAACTCAATTAATAACTCAACCACACCTAGAGTAGTGCATCCAGTTTTGGTCACACTATAAAAAGATGTTGAGACTCTAGAAAGAGTGCAGAGAAGAGCAACCAGGATGATTAAGGGACTGGTGACTAAAACATATGAAGAACGGTTGCAGGAACTGGGCATGTCTAGTCTAATGAAGAGAAGGATCAGAGAAGACAGGATAGCAGTCTTCCAATATTTGAGGGGCTGCCACAGAGAGGAGGGAGGGTCAAGCTATTTTCCAAAGCACCCAAAGGCCAGACAAGGAATAATGGATGGAAACTGAACAAGGAGAGATTCAACCTGGATATAAGGAGAAACTTTCTGACAATGAGAACAATCAACCTGTGGAACAGAAGTTGCCTTCAGAAGTTGTGGGAGCTTCATCACTGGAGGCTTTCAAGAAGAGACTGGACTGCCATCTATCAGAAATGGTGTAGGGTCTCCTTCTTGGGTGGGAGGGTTGGACTAGATGATCCACAAGGTCCCTTCCAACTCTGTTAATCTATCTATCTAAGATGGCTGGTCTTCCATTCCCAGAATTCCCCAGCTGGCTTCAACACAGAGATGGTTTTCATGCAGGTGTGAAATTGTGACAAGAATGGAAAAACAAAACCCACAAGCAACCTCTAAAAAAACCTCAAATTCTGCCATGCTGACAGTGACAAGATCACCAATGTTGGCTAACATTACAGGTAGTCCTCATGTAATGACCACAATTAAGTGAAGAAGTGAAACCATGGCTGCATTTTCAATCTTGCTTCAGCTTTCCTTTCCTTTACAGACCCGTAAAAGTCATAAATGAGAGGATGGGTCTCAGGAAGTTGCTTTTTTCATTTTACCACTGTCATGGTGAACAGTCAGTAAATGAGGCGGTTGCTAAACAAAGACTACCCGAACGTGCAAATTCACAAACAAAATACCCCAAATGGGAGGGAAGAAATACTTCAGGAAACCGAAACTAGTGGAGAAGGTTGCAGATTTGCATCCATGGAAGTTCAGGCGCAAGGCTTCAATGCGCATTTCATGCTGCTCTCCAGCATGCTGAGCTCAGTGCTCTTCCTTGCACACCCTCCATCGTTTCGTTCTAAAAATACCCTGCCCTATTGCACACCTGCAGGCCAGAGGTGGTATTCAGCTGGTTCTGACCAGTTCTGGAGAACCGGTAGAGGAAATTTTGAGTAGTTTGGAGAACTGCCAAATACCACCTCTGACTGGCCCCGCCAACCCCATCTATTTTCTGCCTCCCTTTGAGTCCCAGCTGATTGGCTGAGTTTTCTTTGGTTGCCCTGCACAGGAGAATGGAGCTGGAAAGCAGGTTAGTGGTGTGCGGAGGGAATGGGGATTTTGAAGTATCCTTCCCCTGCCACACCCACCAAGCCACGCTCACAGAACCGGTAGTGAAAAAATTAGAATCCCACCACTGCATACATGCACACACCCCACGATCTACCTTACCTGAGACGTTGATGGGGACAATGTTGGCTTGGGTGGAGCAGGGCTGTTGTAATCTCTTTTCCTCCAGAGCAGGCAGTGGGGATCCTTGGGCCCAGGCTGTGTGTTTGTCTGGGGTAGCAGGCAAGCTAATCGAAGGCTCCAGTACTCTTACCCCCAGGGTTGTGGTTTCATTCTCCTTCACTTGCTGGCTTGTAGGCTGTCAGAAAGTGGTATGGAGGGGGATCAGCTAGGTCCATGGGGGTTGGGGATGGACACACACACCCCGGGGCCCCGATATTTCCCCTAACAAGCTAAAAAAAAAAAGCACCAGACTCACCATGTAGACAAACTCCATGCGTTTGTTGGAGGGACGGCGAGGACTGCACTCCAGATGCCTGTCCACTGAAGGGGAGCTGGCATAGCGGAAGGTTTGTCCACTGATCTTGGCGTCCAAATATGGCTCCTCGTACTCTTCTGGAAGGAAGGAAGGAAGGAAGGAAGGAAGGAAGGAAGGAAGGAAGG